GTGTGACTGACACGTGGCTGGGGCTCCATGAGCCTTAGCAGGGCTGTGCACCTCTGCCTGACACTGCAATTAGAGTCATAAAGTCAACTTTTCGCTTGGGGACTGATGTACAGCAGAGGGGAGAGAGACTGAGGTCCAGAGCAGGATTCCACAGAAGGACTGGGGAAAAACCTGTCCTGTCACTCCACCTCTGAGCTCTAAAAATGCAGCAGACCTTTCCAGCCCTCAAATGTGTGTGGCAATGCATGGCTTCACTCTTGGCCTGGCAGGGCTCACTCAGTTGCATTTTGGCTCGGAGGTCCCTCACTTGCCACAGACACAGCACTGGGTAGGGGGAGTACAGGCTTTCCCACCACGGTGCAACCTCTCCATCCTCCAGAGGACGTGCTTTTGAATCCCTGCCCTGTGCTGAGAATGACAAAGGGACCTTTTGTGATCCTCTGTGTGTGGACTGATGTATACCTCTGCGAATACACACAGATCCCCACACAAGTAAGGACTTCTGGAAACGATCCCAACAGATTTTTCATTTTTTGGTTCCCAGGCTGCTCCTTAGCTATCTTTTCCACACACTTCTAAGATTCCTTGGATTCCTTGGATCATTACAAATCAATACATCTTGTTACTTAGGCAGAATTTTTTAAGACATGTAGTTACATTTACAGATATCACTGAATTTTTTTGAGTATTCACATACATGCAAAAATATTGAGGAAGATGCAGGTGCTTTTAGCGTTCTCATTTCCTATTTCCTTACTAGAGTCAGCTTGAAAATCTTTGTGAGAAGTTACATCCTTAACCAACAGAACAGTTTTCTGTAGAGTCTGCACTCCTCTAGATGGCACTCGAAGCTGTGTTTTCCCTGTTTTGGAGTAGGTAGATATTGTAGAACCAAAAGGAAAACTTCTTTCTCCTCCTCTCGTGAACTCAAATCTGACAGTGCTGGATTAATTGTTCAGTGGGACAGAGTTTTTGGACAAGCTGGCAGAATTGTCTTATGGCCATACAAGACTCATGCGGTTTAAGGTTCAGCTTATAGAGGAAAAATTGACATTTATGGGAGTACTCTTTTATTTTCTCTACTGAAACCATTGCTGGTTTTCCTCTACATATGAAGGGGTGGTTTACAATCAAGACAATTAATGAGATCTAAGATGAACTTGAGTTTATTTTCCTGGTTTCTTGTGAGACTTTTTAGGCCCTTTCAAAACTTGATTCTTATTTACTTGTTCTCTATTTAAAAAGTAGAGTATCATGTAAATTATAACCAGGCTGAGTTTCAGTTCTTTTCTTTTCCATTTATGGAACAGAGTTAATACTAATACCTATGCATGCATATGTTACTTATCTCTTTCATTTAGATTGTGATTTCTGAGGACTGTACCAAACGTAAGCTGGGGACTCCAGTGGTATTCATTAGCATTTATTTATTATCCTTGAATGGATTAGATACTAGGAAAAGGTTCTTCATCCAGAGGGTGGTTGGGCACTGGAAAAGGCTCCTCAGGGAAGTTGTCATGGTACTGAGCCTGATAGAGTTCAAGAAGCATTTGGATGACACTCCTGGACATGTGGCATGATTCATGAGGATGTCATGTGTAGAGCCAGGAGCTGGACATCGTGGGTCCCTTCTGACTCAGAATATTCTATGAGTTTTTAGTTTGATTGCAGGCTGTTCAGATTTTTGCCAGTATTGATTTATTTATGTCTACAAAGAGTTGCTGGCTTGGATCTTGAGCAAGGATGCTCTTCTCTGATCAGCTCATCTCATGTACCTGTGTTATGATTACAACGTGAGTGAACCAGCCCTCTGCTTTATCTGAGTGCCTTTCACGTGGAGCTGCTGCACTGCTCTCCCAGCAGGCTCATTTCTGAGAGCCCTTGGTTTGGTGCAGTGCTTTGTGGCTACAGCACTGCTGACAGCAATGCAGATGACAGCAAGACAGGACCTGGCTGGCTCCACAGGCTATGAGTACTGACAGGACTGCAAAGCCACCTGGCTTCACATGTTGGACACCAGCTTGTTCCAAAAGCTTTAGTATTATCTACTTTCATTTTTTCTTGCTGTTACCTAGGATTTTCTTTTACCAAGTGTTCCAGATAAAACATACATTCATTGTTTTCATCCAGGTACTGAGAAAACATTTCATCTGCCATTTATGCTGTATCAAGGTACACTTAATTTCTTGACAGTTGTAAATATCTCCCTAATCCCTAGAAGACAGCTCCTGAGTCCTCACTGATTCACAGACCACTGCTCTCTGCAGCTTTCCAGGGAGGGGAAGTAGAGAGGAAGGTGCTGATCCCTTCTCTCTGGTATTCAGTGATAGGATGTGTGGGAATGGTTCAAAGCTGCATCAGGGGAGGTTCAGACTTGACATTAGGAAACATTTCCTTACCAAGACGGTTGTCAAACACCAAAAGAGACTTGTCTCAAGCAGTGTTTGATGCCCCAAGCCTGTCAGTGTTCAAGAGGCATTTAGACAATTCCCTTAACAACTTTAACATTTTGACAATGTTTGGGTCATCTCTGAAGTGGTCAGGTAATTGGACTGAATGATTGTTGTTGTTCCCTTCCAATTAAGTATTCTATTCTATTCTGTTCTATTCTATTCTAAATGGCTTTAAATCCTCTTTCTTGTGTGAAAGAGGATAGTTTAGATCAGATATTATGAAAAAATTCTTTACTGTAAGGGTGGCGAGGCACTAGAACAAGTTGCCCAGAGAAGCTGTGGTTGCTCCATCCCTTGAAGGGTTTAAGGCCAGGTTGCATGGGTCACTGAGTGATCTGGTCTAGTGAAAGGTGTCCCTGCCATCACAGGGAGATTGGAACTAGATGGTGTTTAAGGTCCCTTCCAATCCAAACCATTCTGTGATTATTCTGCTCTATGCTTCTTCATATATATTATCTCATTCAGGATTAATTTTGGCTGTCTTGCCTTTGGGATATATGAGAGGTCCTGCTTCAAAGAACAAACAATAACCAACCAATATTCAGCTCTTAACAATGCAAAAAATCACTGTGGTCAGAGTGTCTGTCTTTTTAATGCATTTATACCTTCTTTTGCATGTCAAATCACAGCTGCAGGGTTTTTTGACTGGGGACTGAACGTAGATATTTAACTGAACAGCCCACCTTTTCAGATGTTAAAAAAATAAGTAGCAGTAATCAAGGAAACCTACCACAGCTGAAAGAATGACCTGAGCATCTCAAACAAGGTGTGCAGGTGTGTTCAGAATCAGCCTGCAGAAAAGATATCTACGTGCTGCAGGTTTGTTGCTGTGCTTCTTGCACTCTTTTGAGCTCTGTTCTTAGCTATTCCTGTGGTCAGACCCTTGGGTAATACCTTGTTAACCTGGTTCCTGTTTTGCTACCCTCCACTTTTTCCAAAGCTGACAGAAGCCTCCATGGAGGAAGGTTTTATTGTTGCTTCCTTTCTCTACTGCTCTTCCCTTAACTATTTCATTCATCCTTTGAAAACATCACACAGATTATTGCTCTGTGGCCACTGCTGTCTCAGAGTTCAATTGACTTGATTCTGTCACCTGCTGCCACACTCATGGTCAGTGCTGCCCACATGGATTCCTATTTGTGGGCCCAAGTAAATGGACACTACCTGAGAAATGTCTTATGTGAAGGCTGCTTTGCAGGCAGATGTGAGCTGCTGTTAGAATAGCATGTCCTTTATTGTATACATCACCTTTTTCTGGACTCAATTTTTCTGTCTACTTTGCAATGTTTTCCTCAGTCCTGGTATGTGCTGTTGTTGCCTGATGTGGTAATTTTGGGTCTATTCAACAATGATGTGTATACTCAGGGAAACTTCAGGGAAATTCTGTATGATCCAAATAAATAATACAATGCTTAACACTTATGATACGAGTCTCTTCAGACATAACTGGAGTTTTCTCTAAAATAACTGCCTGCAGTTCTCTTCAGAAATTTAAGTGTACCTCAAAGATATGCTTGAGAGGTGGGGCAATGAAAACCTTATGAAGTTTAACAAAGTGAAGTGCAAGGCCCTGGGTCATGGCAATCCCAGACACACCTAGGGATTGGGTGGAGAAATGATTGAGAGCAGCCCTGTGGAGAAAGATTTGGGCTGATGGTTGACGAAAAAACTCACCATGAGCCAGCATTGTGCGCTCACAGCCCAGAAAGCCAACCATGTCCCAGGCTGCACCAAAAGCAGTGTGGCCAGCGGGTCAAGGGGGGTGATTCTCCCCTTCTACTCTGCTCTTGTGAGAACCGCCCAGAGCATTGCATCCAGCTCTGGTGCCACCAGCATAAGAAGGACATGGAACTGCTGGAGTAAGTCCAGACGAGGGCCACAAAGTTGATAAGAGGACTAGAATATCTCCTCTAAGAAGACAGGCTGAGACAGTTGGGGCTGTTCAGCCTGGAGTGGAGAAGGTTGTGTAAAGAACTCAAAGCAACCTTCCAGTATCTGAAGGGGGCCTACAGGGAAGCTTGAGAGGGGCCCTTCATCAGGAATAGTCTACTGGTAGGACAAGGAGTAATGGGTACAAAGTGAAAAGATGGAAATTTAGGTTAGATATTAGGAGGAAATTCTTTACTATGAGGGTGGTGAAATACTGGAACAGGTTGCCCAGAGAAGTTGCACATGCCCCAACCCTGGCACTATTGAAGGCCAGGTTGGATAAGGCCTTGAGCAATGTGGTCTAGTGGGATGTGTTCCTGCCCATGGCAGGGGGATTGGAACTAGACAATCTTTGAGGTCTCTTCAAACCCTTAACATCATATGATTCTATGAAGAAACCTAGAAATGAAGAGCATCTCAACTTACAGATGGTTAGATCAAGTACACTTCATTGAAAATCCAGTTGCTAAATGTTTTGCTGTGTCTGCTTTCCCTGTACTAAATAGAACATGGAGAAAGGAAAAAGAGGATTAGAAAACTACTGTAACGAGACCTGTTGCAAATTTAAGCTGGGATTTTCAGAATCAGAAACATCAGTAACTCACACTAGTCGAGTTATTATCCATATGGTGAGTTTATTGTGACTTAATAATACAGACAGTGTTTTAATGGTACATGTGAAGGCTGTCACATATGCACTCTGGTTTCCATTGTGCCCTCGAGAGAAGCATTGATATAAACAAAGAAGCAAATAATTATATACACCTCCTTTCCCAGAAAATCTTTGAAGCAATTCCACCAGTGTGGCAGATCATTCTAAGCATTTAACTATCCCATAAATATATACATTAAAATTTATTTATCCACATTCATATAATTATTCTTTGTAAGCATGTTTTATTCTGGTATCTTAAAAATGTGAAATAGTTACAAGTTTTTGGTCTTGAAATTATTCTGTTGGGTTTTGTTTTGGTATTTTTAAGGCTAAATATGACCCACCACAATAATAAAAAAATCAGAAGAGAGGAAGAGGTAAAGCATTAGTCTCTCTACACTAGTATTTAATTTTTATTTTATATATTAAAATGTTCGTGGAATATACATACTACTTTAGCTGAAATAAAGAAAAACATTTTAATAAGAAAGTAAAAGTAGGTCAGAAAGGTCCAAAATCTAAAGAGCTAAATATAGTTCTTATAGTACTAGTTTATAACCCATTCCGGAAATAAACTGTTATCCAAATGTAATTACATTGTGTGTTTTGAGAAGCCTATTTAAAAAGCCTTTTGCTTTCACTGAGCCTTTCCATGGTTTACTTTCATTATTCAGGTATATTTTTTCAGACTTCGATCAAACTATGGGCTCCTCTGTACTTGTCATAATTCTTGCCTTTGGGGCAGATTTGAAGAAATCATTATTTTTATTAGTGCACAATATAGTACATCCATGTACCTGAAAATTTACATGTGGTAAATTCTGTTAAACTCTTTTTATTAACATCAGCTTTGGGTTTTAATTTTCAGTTACCAGAAAATTAAAAAAACCCATTTTTTTCTGTGCATGTTGATGATTTTGTTTTCATTGAGTACTGAGAAAATACAACCTTCATTTGGTTATATCTCCATCAATATTAGATTTACTATCTTTTTCTTCCTCCAACAAGATTAGTTCAGTTCTTGCCAAAGATGTCACAATAGATGAGGCTCCATCAATTTCAACTTTTTCATCCCTTGTTGTTTCTTTAGGTGATAAGCTTTCTTGTGCATCAAAAAATACATCAGGTTTATCTGATGGGCTATCTTCATCTGAGATTCTTCCCTCTTTATGACCCATCTCTTCTTTTTCAACAGACTTAGCCTTTTTGGAAGGAGATGTGAAACCAAGCTTGGGAAATCTAAACCATCCAGTTTTTTCAGTTTGCTTAGAGAAATCATCTGATGCGTCAGCAGATTTCATATCTTCTGGATCTGATTTTTTTACTTCTGTTTTTACATCTGTGCTTGCTTCATCACCAGAAGATGAAAAGCCAATCCCTGGAAGCCAAAACTTGAATCTTCCAGGAGATCTTTTGCTATCAGCCTTTTCTTTCTCATTGGTTTTGTCTTTTTCTTCACCTTCCACGGCTTCAGCTACATCCTCATCTTTAGAGAGAGGACCTGAAGTTATTCGCTCTGGTGATTTATCAGGAAGACCCTCTTCAAGTTTACTAGAAGGCTTTGCTTCAGCAGCATATGTTTTTAACTTTGGCAAACTTATTTCTCCACTAAATTTTTCAGACTCATGATGTGGTTTGTCAGATAGTTTAGGCTCAGCACTGCCAGTTCTCTGTGCTGCTACTCCAAAGCTTTCCCCAGCACATGTAGATTTTTTCACTGATCCACCTTCTGTTGGAGATGGCTGCTGGACTAGCACTTCTAAGTCACTGTGGGATTCAGGCAACTTTGCCTTGAGCAATGAGAATCCCAATGTAGCAGTTTTGACTTTTGATGACAGAATCTCTGATTCTTTCAGTATTTCAGTAGTGTAGATCTCACACCTTTCAATAGCAACATGTTCAGGTTCTACCTTCTCACTCACTTCTTGGCCTTCTATGTAAGACCAATGAATGTCCTGCCCTGCATTTGAAAGGGAGGACTCTATGGTAGTTGTCATTTGTGCTGTTTTAATGTCAGGTTCAGTCAGCATCAGAATTTTGCTTTTTGCTTTTTGAATACTCCCCTCTAAAGCCCCTGGTGTTTCATCAGAGATAGCAGAGCTTGCTTCCAGTTGCACTATTTCAATATCAGTACTAGATCCCTTTGGATCTGTTGCCACTTTTGACACTAAAACATCAGCTTCAATTGGGAGAGTTTTAAAAGTGAATCTTGGTATTTTTAGTCTGGGAATTCTTACAATTACTTCTGGGCCACTTTCTGATTGGTCCACTGTTTCCCCTGTTATTCTGTCAGATGCTTCCATATAATCCAGAGCTGGACTTTTCAGGCCAACAGATCCTTCTGGTTTTTGTAACTGCATTTCTGCTGTGTCTATTTCGCTTTTAGATATTGAATCAGCTTCTGACTTTGTAACATTGCTATCACCTTCAAAACCCTTGATTTCTGAATGAAACATTCCAAACTTCGGAATCTTAAACTTGTATGCTTTAGTTTTACTTATTTCTGCTCTATCTTCTACTTGCACTTCCATTCCTGCAGACACATCCTTTTCAACACTTTTCACTTGAAATTTCATTTCAGGATCTACTCTAGTAATTTTAACATTCGTCTTCACTCCTGGAACTTCTACTTTTAGATCTTCCAGCTTAGCAGTAACATAAGTACCATCTTCTGATCCCTTTGTTGTAGACCATTCACACATAGTCCTTTTTAACTGACTTTCTTCACTGTCTTTTCCTATAATTTTCACCTCACCCTTTATCTTTCCTTTTTTAATTGCTGCCTCTTTATTCTGAACATCAAGCTCTTCCTTTGGAAGTCTAACATCTGTTTTCTCCTGTGTTGCATCCAGAGTAATTTCAGCTGATGACGGTTTGCATCCTACTCCTGAAGTCTCTAACTTAGTGGAACTTTCTACCTTTGGAACTTCCATATCCTGTGGTTTGACTTTATGCTCTTGAAAAGTCAGAGTACCTGTAGAAAACCTATTTGTTAAACTGTTGTCTTTGTCAGTTTCTGAAGCACTTAGGTATGATTTAGGCAATTCTGCTGCAGACACTGTGAATTCTGAAGTATGCATTTTTTGTCCTTCAGCACCACGCTTAACTATGTCTGCATAAGTTTCAGTTTTTGGAATATTCACTCTACTATCTGTTCTTTCTGTGGACAATGAAATATCTCCTTCCATCTTCGACAAGCTAACATCAGAACTCCTCACAGAATCTTCAATTTTTTTAATCCCTTCTTTTCCAATAGTAATTTCAGCAACTGCATGTGGTAATGAGAAGGTATTTTCAGGAATACTTGTTTCAGTTTGTACTTTTGCAGAGGGAATGCTTGCCTGGGCTTTTTCCATACTTTCAATATCAGCATCACATTTTTTTTCCTTTAAGGATGTCCTGCCAAATGCAGGTATTCTGAATTTTGGCATTTTAAACCATCCCTGATGTTCTTCAGTCCGAACTTCTTCAGCTTTTATTTCATGTTCTTCTTTTAATTTGATTTCTTTGTCCTCAAGACTCTCAATAGCTCCCTCTGTCCTTGGTTTAGACACTGACTGGAGGCTTATGTCTACTTTTTGAGCTTCAATGCCATCAGTCAGATCTTGGGGTGTTTTTATTTTACAAACAACTACTCCAGGATCTGATATATCAGATATAAGTTCTGATGCTGGAACTCCCACAGCAATGTCAGCAATTTTTAGCTGGGGTTGTTCAGCTTCTATTTTTGGAGAGCTGATCTCTGCCTCTGGGAATTTCCCTTTTGTTAGGGAGATTCCAAACTTTGGTTTCTGGAATTTGGGCATTTTAATCTTCCCTTCGGGACCTTCTAATTTCACTTTTCTTCCATCCACAACTGATGATCTTTCTATTACTATATCAGGGCTCTTCAGTTCAACTGAAGCTTCTCCTTTGGGGAACTTAATATCTGTTTTTTGAATGTTACATTCATCGGTAGAACTTGACTTTAGGTCAACCTGTTGAAAACTCCCCTCTGAGGGAGTCAGAGCAGCATCAATCTTGGCTGAGCTGATTCCCATTTCATTTTGAGAGGCTTCAGTTTCTATTTTAGAAAACTCCAAAGTGTGGAACTTAAGATCAGCCACTTTTATGCTTATTTGTGCCCCTTCTTCAGTCCTTTCAGAATGACTTCTTTCTATATCAGGTATCTGAATTGAATCATCACCCTCTCTTTCCATTTTAAGAAGAGTAGCATCAACTTCAACTTTTGACGAGTGAGATTGAGATTTTGGAACCTTGATCTTGGACAGTGAAATTTTAGGCATGACAAATTGAGGCTTTTTAATTGGACTTTTTTGTTCAACTTTTCCTGTAGATATTTCCAGATCAAGGCCTGTCCCACTACCTTCATCATCCATTCCAGTTCCTCTCACTTCTGTATCTATTCTGCTTGACATTACAGCAAGCTTTTGGTCTTCCAGATTTGCTCCAGAATCAGGTTTAACACTTGTTTCCTTCTTTGGTGACCAACTGAAGGATGGAAGTTTGAATTTTGGCATTTTGAAATGTCCTTCTTTCTCTTCTCCATCTCCATCTGGCTTTATTTCCCCTTTGATTTTTAGTGCTGCATCTGAATCTTGAATATCACTGTCTGGTTTTGGAATAGAAATGTCAGCTGAAGGGAGGTGAACATCAGCCTCTGATGCCTTACTGTCAGTTTTGGTCATTTTGACTTGAGGGCTGTAAGTCTCTGTTCCTGTGCCACATTCCACCTCCAAGTTTGGTCCTTCGACAACAATGTCAGATATTTCTACTGTTGCTTTTAACTGGGGAACCTTGACTTCTGATTTGGATTGGCTGACCTCCTTTTCTGGCCCTTTCCCTTTAGAAAGTGTAATTCCTAACTTCGGCATTTGGAATTTAGACATTTTTGTTTTCCCTTCAGGACCTTCAGCTTTTATTTCTACATCACTCACAGCAATTTCACTTGATGTTCTTTCAACACTTGCATCAGGACTCTTCATCTTAAGTGAACCTTCAGTTGTCGTCCTAATATCTGAGGTGGAGAGGCTGGCGTTAGCAGCAGCTGATTTCAATTTTAGATCATCTTCTTCACACATACTAAGTATGACTTCACCTGTTGGCCTGCTAATATCCATGTCTATTTCGGGAGCTTTGACTTCTGGTTTGGAAAATTCCAAAGTTGGGACCGTAACTTTTGGCATTTTTATGCTCATTCCAGCCCCTTCCCCACTAATCTCTTTCTCAGATTTCTGTACTGAAACACCTTCTTTTTCTTGTTTGGGACCACAAATATCAGTTTCCAGTACAGGCAAAGAGACTTGGACTTTCTGACCCTTAATTTTAGGGAATGAGATCTTTGGCATGGTAAATTGGGACTTCTTGTTTCTGATCTTTTCACCATCTTTTTCTATAGATGTGTCAAGTTCTACATGAACGTACTGATTCTCAGGAGTAGTAAAAGTTAATTCAGAGTCTGTGTCTCCAGATAAAGTAGACAAAGGCGGTTCTTCCAGATGTTTCTCAACCTGAGATGGAACAATAGCTTCTTTCTTTGGAGACCAACGAAATGAAGGCAGTTTGAATTTTGATGATTTAGATTTTTCTTTCTCCTCAGCATCCTTCTCTCCTGAAATTACTTCCTGGTCTGCCTTGCAGTCTAAATCTGTGCTATGGATTTCTCCTTCTGATTTTGGCATGGTAACTTCCATTGGTGAGAGATTGGGATCCAGTATTGGTGCGTCCAGAACAACTTCAAGTGAAGGCTTGTGCAACTTTACACCTAACTTGACATCAGAGATGTCAGTTGGTTTTCCAGTATCAGGATCAGTCATATCAGATGTTATCCTTTCCCTGGAAATTTCAGATTCCACTTTGAAACCAATGTCACTTTCTGATGCTTTACCCTTAGATCGAATTCCAAATTTTGGTTTTCGAAACTTAGGAATTTTAACTGTAACATCTGTGTCAGCCAAAGACATTTCACCAGCTCTAGTTTTAACTTCGGACTTCAGACCTTCTTCCTCCACAGAACCATCTTCATTTACAATTTCAAAATCTGAAAGGTTTTCATCTGCAAGAGATGGTATTTTTGATTCAGATTCTGTTAGATTAATTTGGAATTTAGTAAGCGTAACATCCACGCTGCCCTTGGCCTCTCTGCTGCTGGACCAGCCAAAGGAAGGCATGCCGAACTTGGGCATCTTGAACTTGCCGTCCTTGGTCTTGGCGGCCTCCTTCTCTGGGGCTTTTGCTTCCCCTTCCAGGCTGAGGGTCGCCTCGGGCACCTGCACGTCAACGCTGGCCTTGGGAAGGGTGACGTCGACGGAGGGCACGCTGATGTCCACCTTGGGAGCCTTGATGTCAGCTTTGGGCATTTTCAGGGAGGGCTTCTCCAGCTTCCAGCCGGCCCCTTCGGTTTTGGCGCCAGGGACGTCGCCTTTGAGGCTCAGGCCGGGGCCCTCCCCTGCGGCCGTCACGGTGGCGGAGGGGAGCTCGACCTCTGCGCTGGGCAGGCTGACCTCGGGCCCTTCCGCTTTGGGGGAGGACACTCCAAATTTGGGCTTGTCGAATTTGGGCATCTTAAGCTTTCCTTTCAGGCCCGAGGCTTCCAGTTTGGCCCCGTCGAGCGAGACTTCAGCGGAGGGTGCTTTGAGGTCTATCTCGGGCGCCTGGAGCTCGAGGGAGCCTTCGACGGAGGGCAACTTGATGTCGGGGGCCGCGATGCTGACGTCGGCGGCGCTGGCCTTGAGCTCTGCCTGCGGGAGGCTGACGTCTGCCTCCACTTTGGGAGCCTTGACGGTGGGCTTGGAGAAGACCACGCTGGGCACCTTGACTTTGGGCATGTGTATTTTCATGCCGCCGCCCTCAACTTTGCCGGCTGCCACCTCCAGGCCGCCTTCGGCCTCGGGGCCCTGCAGGGCGACTTCGCCCTCCTGGCCTTTGGGCAGCGAGACCTCGGCCTTTGGCAGGCTGACCTGCGCGTGGGGAGCTTTGACCTTGGGCAGCTTGACGCTGGGCATCTTGACGTCGGGCATCTTGATGTCGGGCATCTTGAATCGACCCTTCTCGCCCTCTCCCGTGGCGGTCGCCTCCAGCGTCACCTCCACGCCGGGCGCTTGGATCTCGGCGCCGGGCAGGCTCACCTCCACTTCGGCGGCTCCCGAGGGCAGCGTCACATGGGGTTCCTTGAGGCTGATGTCCACCTCGGCGGCTCCCGAGGGCACCGTCACTTGGGGCTCCTTGAGGCTGACGTCCACCTCGGCGGCCGCGCTGCCCTTGGCCTCTCTGCTGCTGGACCAGCCAAAGGAAGGCATGCCGAACTTGGGCATCTTGAACTTGCCGTCCTTGGTCTTGGCGGCCTCCTTCTCTGGGGCTTTTGCTTCCCCTTCCAGGCTGAGGGTCGCCTCGGGCGCCTGCACGTCAACGCTGGCCTTGGGAAGGGTGACGTCGACGGAGGGCACGCTGATGTCCACCTTGGGAGCCTTGATGTCAGCTTTGGGCATTTTCAGGGAGGGCTTCTCCAGCTTCCAGCCGGCCCCTTCGGTTTTGGCGCCAGGGACGTCGCCTTTGAGGCTCAGGCCGGGGCCCTCCCCCGCGGCCGTCACGGTGGCGGAGGGGAGCTCGACCTCTGCGCTGGGCAGGCTGACCTCGGGCCCTTCCGCTTTGGGGGAGGACACTCCAAATTTGGGCTTGTCGAACTTGGGCATCTTAAGCTTTCCTTTCAGGCCCGAGGTTTCCAGTTTGGTCCCGTCGAGCGAGACTTCAGCGGAGGGTGCTTTGAGGTCTATCTCGGGCGCCTGGAGCTCGAGGGAGCCTTCGACGGAGGGCAACTTGATGTCGGGGGCCGCGATGCTGACGTCGGCGGCGCCGGCCTTGAGCTCTGCCTGCGGGAGGCTGACGTCTGCCTCCACTTTGGGAGCCTTGACGGTGGGCTTGGAGAAGACCACGCTGGGCACCTTGACTTTGGGCATGTGTATTTTCATGCCGCCGCCCTCAACTTTGCCGGCTGCCACCTCCAGGCCGCCTTCGGCCTCGGGGCCCTGCAGGGCGACTTCGCCCTCCTGGCCTTTGGGCAGCGAGACCTCGGCCTTTGGCAGGCTGACCTGCGCGTGGGGAGCTTTGACCTTGGGCAGCTTGACGCTGGGCATCTTGACGTCGGGCATCTTGATGTCGGGCATCTTGAATCGACCCTTCTCGCCCTCTCCCGTGGCGGTCGCCTCCAGCGTCACCTCCACGCCGGGCGCTTGGATCTCGGCGCCGGGCAGGCTCACCTCCACTTCGGCGGCTCCCGAGGGCAGCGTCACATGGGGTTCCTTGAGGCTGATGTCCACCTCGGCGGCTCCCGAGGGCACCGTCACTTGGGGCTCCTTGAGGCTGACGTCCACCTCGGCGGCCACGCTGCCCTTGGCCTCTCTGCTGCTGGACCAGCCAAAGGAAGGCATGCCGAACTTGGGCATCTTGAACTTGCCGTCCTTGGTCTTGGCGGCCTCCTTCTCTGGGGCTTTTGCTTCCCCTTCCAGGCTGAGGGTCGCCTCGGGCGCCTGCACGTCAACGCTGGCCTTGGGAAGGGTGACGTCGACGGAGGGCACGCTGATGTCCACCTTGGGAGCCTTCATGTCAATTTTTGATTGTTCTTCACCATTTTTTATTTCAATATCAGTTGTTGACATCAATATTTCTCCAGTAGTTTTTTGAAAGGCATTTTCTACCTTGCAAGGTTTTATAGTTATTTTTTTCGGACTTGGCAGCTGGACCTTTGTCTTTTCTTTCATGTCATTTTCTTTTATTTTTCCTTTTGATATCTCAGTTTTCACTTCAACACTTGGTACCTTAATTTCTTCCGCTGATCCACATATCTCTGCTTCCGCTCCTTCTTTTAGTGTTGGCATTTTTCCTTCCATTTCACTTATCTGTCCTTCAGTTTTCCCTGTTTCCTCCTTGGTATTTGACCAAGTAAATGTAGGAAATTTTAACTTTGGGAGTCGGAATTTGCTTTCTTTTCCCTCTATATCTTTCTCACCTGTCTTCATTTCAAACTTTAAGGTTTTGTCACTTGTGGGAATGCCATCTTCTATCCATTCCTTTTTTACAGTATCTTCTGATTCACCTGTGCTTTCTTGTCTTGCTATTTTTATGTCAGTTTTAGGTGTTTTCGTCATTTTGAATGATGGCATTTGTATTTTCCAAGAAGATACTTCTGGTTCTGCATCAGGTATGTGTGTTTTCACATCCAAATTCCTGCCATCCTCTGAAGTTGCATCCATTGTTTTTTCTGGTTCTGAATGTGGAACATCACCTCCCAGTTTGGTGGTTTCAGTCTCTGTCTCTTTTCTCTTGGGCACTGAAATCCCAAATTTTGTTTTCTGAATTGTTAGTATCTTTGTGTCTTCTTCTACTTGAATTTCTCCTGCTTCCAGTGTGTCAGATATGTTTAACTCTGCTTTTGCAGTTCCTATTTCTAGGCCTTTCACCTGTGTAGATCCTTTAGCTGTGTGACTCATCAAGTCTATGTTAATTTCACTTTCTCCTTCTTTTTTAACTGGTGTTCCTTTCTGTTTCTTTTTTCGGGATTTTGATGATGCTTGTGATGTTTTTTCAGTTGGACTTGCTTTCAGATCAGGTGTTTCTAAACTGGGCTTTGGTATCTCTGTTGTTATGTCTGGTACCTCAGGTAAACTAAATTTTGATGTTGATTCCTTGTCTTTTTCTTTTTTAATGCTTATTTCAACTTCAGGGCATTGTTTTACATGAGATGGGATGCCATTTTTCATATCTTTTAAGTCTTTTGTTAAAGTTTCCTGTACCTCCCCTATTTTCATTTTGTAAGCAGGAGATGTGGTATATTCAACAGTCAGGATTTCAGGATTTTCCAGGCTAATATCTTCTTCATGTATTTTTTCTCTTTCAGAGATCAGTGTAGTTTTTATTTCTTTTTTTTGTTTCTCTTGTAGGTCTGTTTTGGACCTGTGCATTCTGAATCCAATGCTAGGGAACTTCAGCTTCCTTTGGCTTCCTTTTTTTTCTTTGGTATGGACTTCTTGTGGAAATTGAGACTCTGTGTCTGTGCTTGTAGGAGAAATATCCTGTACAGCAGGTTCATATGCATCTGATGTACTATGAGATCTTCTGTGCCTCAATATCTTTTTATTTTTGATTGACTGGAATTTTGGCCATGATAATCTGTCTTTTTTAGGTCTCTTGCTTCTTCCTACTCTTTGGCTTGCAATTAATGTTTCCCTGTCTTCTTCTGAAATGGCTTTTCCTGAAACATGAAGCGTTTCTTCAGGAATGCTCTCACTGAGTTCTTTCTCCTGAAAGAACAAATAGTAGTCAGAAGATTAGAAGTAACCTAAATATAGGTGTAAGAGAAAATAAAAGACATACTGTAAAATGTGTAGAAAAAAGTTCTTTTTATTAATAGTATCTACTTCTTATATAAAAAATAATGAAAATTATATATATATATGTATATATGTATATAGTGTCAGGAAGAAATGACACAAAACAAATGGATTCTATGGCTGTAATATATTGATTTCTGAAGGTTTACATTCTTTGCAAAACACTGCACTAAATTGAGGTTTCTATATATATTTCTCTATGTACAAATATATATAATATATATTATTTATATAGATGCATATGAAGAAAAATAATTTTTAAGGTGATGGAAACCTATGAACAGATCATGTCTATCAAGATATCAGTGATTAAACACATATTTTTAAGAAAAAAAAAATCTCATGGATGACCTTTGGAGAAAAATGTTTACTGATATTTTACATTTTTGAAAATATTGCATATAATTATTATAGAGATTACCTGAGTCTGTTCTATCAGTCGACAATAAAGAATAAAAAAAGACAGACTCACTAAAGAATACTTTTGTACCCTAACATAAAATTGTGTATTTATATAAAATCTGTGGTCTCACTCAGGATTTAAAAAGCTGTAAATACTGCGTGGGATTTTTGTTTTTTGGTCATGAATAGTCATACTAATAAGTTTAAACACACACCTCAGTCTTAAGAAGACACAAGTGTGTTTTCTGATCTATTTCCACGTTGCTACACTATGTTATCCAAACTTTGTAAACTAATCAAAAGCTACCTGGCTTATTCTTTCCTTCTTGTATTGAGTTGTAGAATGTTCCAGCTCTTCTTTCACAGCAATTTTTCTTTTGAGGCTGAACTGGACTCTGTACGGCTCGGAATACTGGAGAATCTTGAGTGCATCTTCATATTTGATGTTATCAAAAAAGATTGTAGCACTTAGAAGCTGATCACCTGCAAGTGGAATCATGGATCATTTTAATTACTTTGTGTATTCTTACAGTTTTTCAAATTCTGTTGAAACAATGACCAAAAAAAAATAATTATCACATCCTTTTATTTAAAATATGAAATTATGTTCACGTAATAGAATCATGGAATAGGTAAGGCTGGAAAGGACCTCTGGGTATCATCTAGTCCAACTGCCCTGCTGAGTGAAGGGTCAACCACGGGCAGTTGCTCAGGTCTGTGTGCAGTCAGGTTTTGAAGATTTCTAAGGATGGTGACGCCACTATCTCTCTGAAAAACCCGTTCCAATATCTGACCACCCTGACAGTAACAAAGTTTTTTCTTACATTTTCCAGTGTTTAGACTTTGGACTTTTGTTCTTGTTTAAACCATTATTTACTGCAGTTCTGTGGCATGATACATTTTGCGAAAGAATCAAAGGAAGGTTCTTCGTGCATGTCATGAGTTGTGCCTTTTTTTTTTTTATTTTAGTTGCGTATATACCACTTTCTATGTGTCTTTTTCACTGTTCCAGTGAAAATTTTTTTTATCACATACTAAAAAATCATATTTCATTATTGTTCAAGCAAGTGATCTTTGAATTTATTAATACAGACAGCTTAAGCACTCACATAAACATTAGTTGGTTTGCAATCTACTATTTTTGTTACCTAAAGAGATGACAGATCAGGCAGGTATCTATGTGCACACACAGCTATATATCTCATTACTTAAAGATATAGAATAAAATCAAAACAAAAAATCAGACTGTACCTTCTTTAAGACTAAATATTTTTGAAGCAGGAGATTCCTTAAGTACTTTTTTAATAAATATTCCTTCATCTCCTCCACCTTTCACACTAAAACCACTAGCACCAGCTTCCGCTTCTGTTTTCAGGGTTACTTCCATTGTCTCCTAGAGATTGAAAAAGGTGTGAATTTATCATTTTTATTCATTTGTATCAAAGAGTTCTACATTACTCTACAATAAAAAGTTGAGTCTGATGAGGTATATTTTCAATAGCTCAGGAAAGGTTATCTAAAATGGAGATAACCCACTCGCGTTCAGTGTGGATTCAATTCTGTTCTAAATTAGAATTAAGCATGTGTTAGGGTTATGCTGGATCAAGGCCACAGGGAAAACATGTTATAATTTTAAAATGTGAAACACATGGAATCTTTTAGGGTTGAAAGATTTTCTGTTAAGATGGTTAACACTTGAATTAAAGTCAGTGGGCCAAAAAAGACAGACTAAGAGCTAATGCTCTACTGTATTCAAACCAAAGAAGGATAAAGGAAGAATGCTAAAAAGAATTATGGAAGGACCCTGAATAGGACAAGTAGGTGCTTATGCCTGTGCCATAACTAAGCAATTTGTGAAGTTCCTGGTCAAGCCAAGTCTAAAGCGATTCTTCACTCATTTGTCCTTCCTTCTGTCCATCCTTCATGTCTGTGTGTAATAATAAACTTTATTTTGCAAGGCTCATGCCTACAAGTGCTTTTAGGACTGACCTGTGAATGACTCTGTTTTGATTTGTCTGTAGAATGTTTTTTGTTTTCTTCTTGAAGCTGAAAAATAATTTTCAACTATTTAGTGTTCAGAAGTCATGCTGAAGTCAGGTACAACAAAAGTCAGTTAAAAGTCCTGGTTTAGACTAAGAACTGAGGCTGACTTTAATGGCAACAGAGCAAAATTCAGATCTGTAAGTGCAATGTACAACATGAATGATTTAAATATGCTATTCCCAGTAGTAAATTAGATGCCAAGGCCTCCCTTTATTGTACCAAAATTCGCATTATTTAATTCATTTGAATGCCAGAGACCAAATGTCTTAAGACATGGGGAGCTTTTCTGTGTCTTAATGTAGCACATTGCCCATGCTTTTATTTTTGTAAATGTGCTTTTTTTTTTTTTTACTTATTCAACTTCAGTATGAATTTCAAACTGCTGCCTACTTATCTTAACATGGCCGTACTAATTAAATCCCTAACACTGAATAACCAAGAGGTACAGGTAATTTTGAAACACTTATTTGCTAGATTCAGGTCACTTATATATTCTAACAGGAAAAACACTGTGGTTTCTTTACACGCTCTGTCCCGTGTCCTTTAAGGAATGAAGTCAAATTTTTTTTTTCCAAGAAACAAGAACATGGCCAGTAAATCCAGTACAAAATAAAACCATCAATGAACATGGACCAGGTTTTGGTGCGGACAGGAAGACAATATGGCTGCAACAACATCCCATTATACCACATATGAGTCTCTGCAAGTTGTAGGAGTTAAAGCCTCTTGAATCAACTTGGTAAAGCCATGCCTGTATGAAAAACTCAGTGTCTTGCCTTTAAATATTCTTCTTCTGTGGGATACTCGTAAACTGGAGAGGATCCCTGTGGCCTTGGACGAATGTCTTCTACTGCCACTTCATTAACCTGTGGAACAGAAATGAGTGGTGGTAAAGAAACATCAACCAATTAATAGTGACTCATTTTCTTAGGAGAGTTTCTCTAGTTACTCGTAGTCTCATTCTGAGTATAAATCTTTCATTAGTATGTCGGATGAAAAATAACCAATAACTCTTTTCTTAGGTCAAAATCAAATAAAATTCTCATGTTAAAGCACTCAAAAACACAAGGGACAGAGACCTGAGAGACAAAACCAGTGCTACACTGATTCTGGTTTTCTTTATGTATTGTTTGCATCTACAGATGGAACAGACTGAAAATACTGACAGATCAATAAGTAATAATCGAAAAAGGCAAAAAAAATCCCTCCCCTGCTTTATTTGCATCCTGTGGCTTCAAGCTTTATTGCCCTGTATAACCAAGCAAACCATGGAAAAGTCCCAGCAGGAATTTCTGCTGAGAAGTGCTTGGCATGCTTCCTTCTGGAGTCAGACAACAGGGAACCTAAACCATCTAAATCTTTAAAGAAAAATTACTGTAGTTAACAGCCATGTAATAGTTTCCTAAGTCTTGGTAGTGAACTTATGCTGATGAATCACGGCAAAGAGCAGAAGCCTTTTTACTGAAGCAACTTTCTCACTTTTGAGCTGGCAGGACAATCCCAAGCGGGGATTTTTAATGGGGAGGAAAATCACCAGCAAGATCCAGCTATAAACAAAATATTTAAGATCTCATTTTGCCAAACTCTCATCACAGAAAAACTTTAAAAGACTCACAGAATCTTCATCCTCTGCATCCGCATTGGCATCAGCATCTCCGGGGGGCTCAGCTGGTCTCAGCTGTCGTCCAGAACCTGAAAGCAGCACACAGGTTGTTGGTGTCTGCAGGATCCCCACAGGGCACAGAGCAGTCAGCCTGCAAGCTGAAAACCTCTGGAGCAGCATGCCAGGGGACATGCAAGGGCCAGCGGTAGAAAGGCCTGCTTTCATTTAGATTCCCAGCATCACAGAAGGACTTGGGTTGGAAGGAATCGTCAAGATCACCTGGTTCCAACCCCCTGCCGTGAGCGGGGACACCTTCCACTACACCAGGTTGTTCAAAGCCCCATCCAACCTGGTCTTGAACACTTCCAGGGATGGGGCATCCACAGCTTCTCTGGGCAACCTGTGCCAGCGCCTCACCACTTTCCTTATCTTAGATCTTGTCCGGTCAATCTTTCCAAAGATACCAGGAATATTCATATCCAGGTAAGGAATGAAACATGGGAAGGAAGGCTTTTGTGAAGGAAAAAATCCCCAGATTGGATAACGTGTACAATTGTAAGTTTGCCGTATTTTTGTGTTATTATTACCAAGGGGGGCTTGAGCTGTGGATTGGGTAGAATTTGAAGGGCTTTGGCAGCAGGGTGGCTGTGGGGTGGTCTCTGTGGGAGGAGGTCACAGACCACCCTGTGCCACATGTGGTGTTTGCAGTCAGCTCCACTTTGCTGAAGCGGTTGGAGAAGTTTCCGTCACTTCTGTGAAAATGTGTGTAAGAAAGAGTGATAACCACCAAGAAAAAGAGACAACATAAATAGAGGAGGAGGGAGAAAGAGAAGACTACACCAGAGCATATTGAAACTCTTCCTTGCTTCTGACAAAGGTCTTAAAAGCTGGAGAGCAAACATCATGAAGCTTTCATAGTCATAAAGACTGCTTTCTTGGTTTTTAGAAGTACTGAGGGCAGAGAGAGATGAGATGAAGGAGATGGGCTCTCTGAAAGTATGATTCTGTTGAAATGCTTTAAATTGGGCACCAAAGAATGAAAACAGCATGAATGAAAACATGGTTTTCAGAGAGTCAGTAGAGGACAGTGTGGCTGAGCTACACATTCCCTGATACACCAGCTTGTCCTGATAACTATGTCTTTCCTGTCTCAACATTGTTTTTGCCAGGCCAGCAGGCTGTCTAGCTCCCTCACACCCAGTTCTGCAACTCTCAGGCACTCACATGGTGTGACTCTTGGGGATGGTCCTGTGCAGGCCTCAGAGTTGGACTCAGTGATCCTTGTGGGTCTCTTCCAACTCAACATATCCTGTGATTCTGTTTGATTTATACATAGTTTTGGCTCTCCTGAACAGATCCTCTGGCTTAAAAATATGATCAAACACTACAGAAGACAATTACAAGAAGAATTGTGCAACTCTTAATTGTCTCCTTTAAATGGAGAATCCTTGGGTTGTAACACAACATTTCTGGATGTGGTTATTACATGCTGTGTGTGCAGACAAGCTGGCACGACTTAGGCATGTATGCCATGGCTCTGACTCACACACACGGTCAAGCTCTTGTAAAATTTTGGCTGTGATTTTACTAGCCATTCTTCACAGTTTTCTGATCTCCTACATTTACTTTTTCCTTGACTTTTTTTGAGGATGAACTTATTTATTACAGGCAGAGTTATGGAATAGTCATGGCCTGTGATCAGTGATGGACCACTTTGTTAAGGGGAGTAGAAATATTGTGCTTCCAGTGGGAATATCCCATAACTGTCTGTGGGTCAAGTCTCAGACTTGACAGAAGTTATCCTCATTAGCCATATGTACAGCATCTTAATCAGCTCTCCTGTGGTATCTTAGCTCCAGAGAACTAGAATCAACCCAGAACACAACAGGGCTGTTAGATCATGCCTCCTTTAGCCTTCACAGGACTAGTCCTGACACGTACGATGGACAGTTCCAGAAAATTCTAGAAAATGGTCTTAATGCAGACTCTAATTCAGTTTAAAAACCTTCTTAAAATTTGGTTTTCTTTTTTTTTCCAAAAGGTCTAGAATTTGCAATCTTCAGAAGCTCAAGAAAATTGGAAAATGAGCCTTTTAACCTTGTTAAAAAATTTAGATATGGATTTATGAACCTGATTTTAGGCATTTCTGCCTGAAAATTTTGGAATCCATTCAAGGAGCACTTCACCACATGAATTTTAATAAGCATCATATGAGGAGAAGAGCTGCAGGATTGAGGCTTGATTGTTTAATTTGCTTAGTGCTTCTAAAGATTCAGGTGCCAACAACAAATTTTATGGTTCTTACTAAAATTCCAAGAAATAGTAAGGACTTAGTCTTGCGGCATTGCCATATTTTTCACTTGGGATAATCCCACCCACAAGCCCTGTAGTCCAGTAGAATGACTTAACAGAAAATTGCTTGGATCGCTGGAGTGTTTGCTCTTCGGTGCAGCACTTTAATGCTAACAACAGCATTGATCCCTGGTGGCTGCCAATAATTTTGCTACTGGAAAAGAAACAGGAAAGACTTAGCTGCGAGGCTTCTTAGGCTGGTTCACTGCTGTTTCTCTAGTTTTACTCTGGTGTAACTTCAGTGACAGTTCTGTTGTCTGGAACTGGAGCAATGCCAGACCGGGGTGCTCTGATCTCAGGACGTGAATGGTCCTGTACAGTCTGTGCTGTTGATTTTACACCATCCAGTGGGGCATGCCCTTTGAGACTGGGATTCTGCAGCTATCCTACAAGTTCTAGCTGAGTTGAAGCTTCTAAAACTAAGTCATTCTTAGAACGAATAGGTGACCAACACCTTTAAAATCTTCCTGCCATAAAATCCAAGAGAATTAGATCACTTTGTGCAGTGAGATCTGAACATTTATTTTCCACCATGATGCCATTTTAAACCAACAAATAACACTGCCAGTTCTTGTTCAGTGTGGATATAGAGAGAGAGACCTCGCCAGGATGACGTCTCATCTGGGACTGCACCAGGAGAGGAGTTTCACCACCCATGGATCAAGAAAAGCAGTGGTGTATGAGGCACAAAGGGGCCTTCATGTGCTTAGCCAAGTATTGGCAGGAGATTGCTCTCCTTGTCCTTGTTGGAGGGGCTACAGATCAAGGTTTGCAAAAATGTCCCTGGAAAAATCCCCTCCTGTTAAGAGGAAAATCTGTCAGCATAAAAGCCCTCTTTCACCCACCTCATGATGGGTAGAATGGGACAGAGTACTCCTCTGAAAGCCTTTAATAAACCATTACCTCTTCTAAATGATGATAGTAGGGCCCTCTCCTACAAAATGGAGCAACAGATTACTGTCCCTAGGATAACAGAGATGTGGTTGAGGTTGCATGGAGGGACATCAGCTACATGGATGACTTTCCCTCCCAAAGTTTCACACCAAGGCCTTTCCAGACACCCTGATTTCCCCAAACTCTGCCTAAACTGCCCATCTACAGTTGTCAACCCATGCCATAAAAGACCTGTTGTGCCCTTGATTCCTACCGCAGACCAGAATTTGCTTCTGATTTTTCTCCTGATTCAGAATACTTTAGAAACAAATCTATAAAAGAGAGGAATTACAGTACCTTTTCAGCAAAGCCTTCTTTCTGAGTATAAAAGCCTGTGCCAATAAACTATGATTTATATGCATGTCATTCTCATGCCCCAAATAGTAGCAATGCCAACATTTTATAGATTTTAACTTTTTTATGATCCCTGGACAATCAATGCTTTGTTCAAAAGGTTTTCATAAACAAGATGGAATTTACATCAGTGACTACTTGTAATAACCACTGAACTGACTTCAGAACAAGGGAATTTTTTGAAAGTAAGCAGTAGGAGTTATATAGGCTGGATCGTTTTCATATCATATGACTGAAATTTGTATTTGCTGTTCGAAATGCAATTTTTAAAAAATATTTTATCTTTAGCCTAGCAACCCAGATGGACTGTTCTGGGTAAAACCACAAAGAAAAAATAAAAACAGGTTATTTTTTCAGTATTCACATTCAGAGAGTAACAGTCTCCAAAACCACATTTGAGACAATATAATAAATTTCAAGTAGGACAGTGTCATTGAATTCAAATCAACTGCACTTTAATGTATTGTATAAAGAGAAACCTAGCTTTAATTGGAACACTGGCATATAAAATCACTGTAATCTGTACACTTTAAAATAAAATAAAACAGCAAATGAGAATACCAGAGATGTCAATAAAAGAAACAAAAATGTTCTTTGCTGATCATCCCAGCTTTGCTTACAAACTATATCCCTTTCTCTGCAATTCTTAGATTTGGGGTTCTGCTTTTTAAGATTTTATACCAAGGTTATGTTTGTATATGAATAGTGAATTGAAGTAACCTGCTCTTATATTACTTTATATTACTTTTCCTTGCATCAGCTTCAACTTTACTTCAACAAACAGCTTCTCTTAACAGATAGAAATCTGATCCATGATAAATATCTGTCCACAGGTGAAAAGTTTTATGCTTTGCTCACTCATTTATTGTTACTTGAGCTCACAACCTGTGCCTTTTCTTTATCAGGATTTTGGTGTATGTTAGTTACCATTTCTAAGCTATGACAAGAAACTAAAAGTCCTGATTGTGCAGTACTGTGAAAATTAATAGCTGTGAGTCCATAGCACGAGAAGACTTGTGCCTTGGCATGTGGGCAAGGCTGGGACATCTTTAGATCAGGTCTTTTCTGACAGTGCAAAGTACTCCAGGCACCTAACCTGATTTGTATTATTAACAAGGAGAAGGAGGAGTGAGTAATTGCAAGACAAACAACAGCAGTAATAATTTAATGTCATTGTCACTGTTGGCACTGTGTTTGACCCACTAAAGAATTCGTACATGTAGGTCAGCAGTTTTCACGGGGCTCCCTCGTGTGCTTATGTCTTGTTGTAAACAAAGACGTGCATGGCTGCTGTCATGGACAGTTTCAGCTGGCTCCTGTATCAGACCTCTCTTCCTGCAACCATCACTCCCTGTACCAGCAAGTCTGTCTGTCCCTCTGCCCCCAGGCACCCTGTCATGGGTCTGCTATTTCTCATGCATGAATGGCAAGTAACTGCTAATTGCTTCAG